TACTTTTAATAATTTTTATATAAATGACTATATTTTTTAATTAAAATAACAATAATATTATATACATAAACACTATATTGTAATTATATTTTACTCATATTTTAATAACATTTTTGATAACAAAAACTAAAAGATTAATGAATTTTAATTTAGAAATTTTTAATTATTCATAATTAATATTTAAATGTTAAATGTTGTTTTTAAGATTTTTTTAAAAAAAAATTAATTTATTTTTATATAAAGTTTTTATTGAAAAATATATAATAAATTTTTTTATATTGTGTTAGTGGGCGACACATAAATATTCATTTAAAATAAATACAGTCAATAAATGGTATAACAAAATGATTTTTTAAAAGTAAATAATAAATAAATAAATTTATTTTCTGCTTAAATGTATGTCAAGAATATTCCTAACAATTTGTTGTTTAATATATAGTTTTTTAAAATGTTTTTTTTGTTGTTTAAACTGATTTAATATTTAAATGTTTTATTATTTTATTATAAAAACAACTGTTTAGTAGATTTTAAAAGTAAAATTTATTTTCATTTTCTTACTATTATTAGATTTTCAACAAACAAAATAAAACGATAAAATCAAATTAAATTAAAGTATATATATATATATATATATATATATATATATATATATATTAATATTTAGATGAAATTTAAGTATTATATAAATTTAGTTAATAAAACATTTATATTTTACAAACAGTAGTAATAGTACTGAAAAAAAACTAATTTTTGAAATACTAAACAAATTTTTTTTCATTTATATATTTCATATATATATTTCAGAGATTAGTAGTAATTGTTTTAAATTTTGTTTATTTATTTTATTAAAAATTTTATTTCCTGAAAGTTTATTTTTATAAGTATACTATTGTTGTTGTTGTTGTTATAAAACTATAATATTTTTTATCATAAAAAAATTTAATAATAATAATAATATAATTGAATGTCTATTATATTTTATATATTATATATATAAAAACATATAAAATATAGTAAACAATTGATGAGATAATCTTTCAAAAAAAATAAAGTAAAAAAATAAAAACTAGACAGTCAATAGAAATTCAATTTCTAAAATATATTATCAAGGTTATATTTAAGTTATACAAATATATATATATGAAAAAATGTATCGTGCAAGTTAAAAACAATTTTTTTTGTTATTTTAAATAATGTTTTTTTAAAAAATAAAATATAATTTTTCAATAAATCAGAAAACTTATTGATTATTATTTATTATATAATCAATTTATACTATACTACTAGTAAATGTAACAAATTGTTATTTTTTTGAAAAAAAATATTTATGAATAAATAAAAAGTATAGTTTTTTTATATATAAATAAAATCATTAATCATTTATTTTTTTTAAAAAACAATTGATAAATATGTATAAATTATTGTTATTATTATTTTTAAAAAATTTAGTTTTAATAATAAAATTTTCAATGTACACTACCTGTAATTTTTAAAAAATATATTTTTAATTTAATTTATAATTTTTGTTTGATATCATATAAATATATACTGTAGTTTAGTATTTATAAATTTATTTAACAATTATTTATTAGGTGTAGTATTATTATTATTTTTAATCAAAAATAAACTCATTAATAATAAATGGCAACAAAAATAAATGTTATTGAATTGATTTCAAAAATATATTACCAAAATATTATCGGCAAAACTATTATATATATATATATATAATTGATTATAATATTTTAAAAATTAAAATAATATCAAAAATTAATATAAATTGATATATAATATACAGTATATATATATTAGAAATACAATAATTTGAATATATATATAGTATCTATTATATATAGTATAATATTAATGTATTTTTTTGTTATTAATATGATTGATGGCTATTAGAGTATATATTTTATTTTTTAAAAAAAAATAATATAATTATTTTTGAAAACTTATTGATAAAAAATTGACAAAATTGAGATAAATTATTGAAATTTAATTTAATATAATATTATATTTGCATAATAATAATAATAATACTGTATAAATAAAAATATTTATAATAATAATTATTATTATATTAGATAGTTTTGTTAATGAAATAAAAATTGCTAAAAATAAATAAATAAATATTTGTTTGTAGTTTATGAGTAAATATACATACAGTATATATTAAGTAATACATTGTATTAATGTTTATTTTATTAATTAAATATAATAATAATTATTATTATTATTATCAATATTATAATGTTTTGATTAAAATTGATTACAAAAAATTAACTTACAATTAGTAGTAGTATTTTTTATCATGCAAACTTATCATTAGTATTATTATTATTTTGACTATTAATTTAATAAATTGTAACTTAACTTAAATTTTTTTTTTAATTTTATTAATAACATGTTAAAATAAAATATTTTTTTTAAAAATATAAATAGATATATTATTTAATTACATTATGATTGGTCAATAAAAATAAATACATATACAGTATATTGATTTATTTTTATTAATGTTTATTTTAATGTATATATATATCTAAATATATATTTACACAAATATTTTGATTTTATCATTAATTATATTTTTTTAAAAAAATTAACATATTTGAAAAAATTGTTGATTAGATATAATTATATCAATATCATCATCAAAAATAATATTAACTCATGTATTATTATTAGTATTATTATTATTACATAATATTTTTTTTGATATAATTTATTTTTCCTGTCCATATCAAACAAACAAATATATATAATAAAATTAGATATTTTAAAAAATAATAAATATTATTTCATTCATTGATAAATTATTACATTGCAAATCAAATATAATGTATGTATATATCAATGTATATCAATATATATATATATATATATTTCATAAAAAACACAACATTTATAAATATAGATAACATTTATATCAATACATGTTTAGTATATATATATATGAATCATATAATATGATACTAAGTTTTATACATATATATATATTATTTTGTTTACTATTTATAATAATATATATAAAACAATTTATTATTATTATTAGTATTATATTTTATATCTAGTAATATAATAAACGTTCAGAAAATAAATAAATAAATATTTCCGTGACTTTAGTAATTGGTTTAGCAATTGATTTGAATAAATGATAAATATTTGCTATAATTTTTGTTTTTTGTTTTACCTTTTTTTATATATATATATATATAGTATATAATAGTTGGTTAACCAATTGATAGATATAGAGGATAGACATAAATATAGGGATAAACATATAGATAATTAGTTATATACAGTATATATTGTATATTAAATATATTAGTTTGTATTGATTTATTTTATATATATATAATAATAATAATCTATATTAGAGAGAGAGAGAGAGAGAGAGAGAGAGAGTAAAAGTGTATCAAAAAATTATATATATATATATATATATGATATTTATACTGTATATATGATAAACGCCTCAACTAAAAAAAATAAAATAATGATGCGATCATAAAGATTATCACATTTTATGTAAACTAAAAATTATAGTGTAATGTAATGTAATGTATAAAAAAATAATATCATAACTACAGTACAAGCCCCATAATAAATATTAGACATAATAATAATAATAATATGTATTTAATCATTCATTAAATAATAATGACAGTATACTGTACTCATCGATATACTGTACTAACTCTATATATAATATACTAAAACTAATTTGTTTTTTTTTTGTTGATTTTTTTTGTGTTAAATTTATATTTTACATCAAAAATACATGTTTGTGTGTACACACTACAGACTGGCAAAACTAGGGGATTAAAATATATTTACTTAAGTACATATATACAGATAAAAGGATTAATATATACATGCAAAAATTTTATATAAATAACATATATAAACAAAACAAAGATACTAATGTCATATGATAAATAAAGTTAATATTATATTTAATGTTAATATTAATATAAAATAAAATGTTTAAAAAATTTAGATAAAAATATTAAATATTGATGATTGATTTGATTGATTTAAATATAAGAATAATAGTAATAATAGTAATAATAATAATAGTAATAATAGTAATAATAGTAATAATAGTAATAATAGTAATAATAGTAATAATAGTAATAATAGTAATAATAGTAATAATAGTAATAATAGTAATAATAGTAATAATAGTAATAATAGTAATAATAATAATAATAATAMTAATAATAATAATAATAGTAATAATAGTAGTAATAAGTAATAATAGTAATAATAGTAATAATAGTAATAATAGTAATAATAGTAATAATAGTAATAATAGTAATAATAGTAATAATAGTAATAATAGTAATAATAGTAATAATAGTAATAATAGTAATAATAGTAATAATAGTAATAATAGTAATAATAGTAATAATAGTAATAATAGTAATAATAGTAATAATAGTAATAATAGTAATAATAGTAATAATAGTAATAATTTTTGTTTTAACTTTTATTATAATTATTTAAAATAAAATTTTTGTATGCATAATATTTACTTATACTGTATATATGAAATAAATAATTATATTCATAACTTCCCTACTTTGCCTGTCTGTAGTACACACACACTGTGTAGACAACTACTAATCATTGATGAGAGAGAGAGAGAGAGACAGAGAGAGAGAGGAGTTATATATTTAATGGTTTTCCCTTTAAGCCAAAAAAAAATTATGTATAATTAGGAGTTAAAACATTGCTATCTCTCTCTCTCTCTCTCTCTCTCTCTCTCTCTCTCTCTCACTCACTCACTCACTCACTCTCTCTCTCACTTACTCAATCACTCACACACACACTCACTCCCTGAGAAAAAACATTTACTAAAAAAAAATTATAACAAAAATTTTTCTAAATATTTAATAATTATTGTATAATTCAAAAAAAAAACTATATATTAATCTCAAAACTTAAATATTATTATTATTACTATTTGACAGCAACAACAACACTACAACTAATCATCGGCGGTACCACCAAACTATCGGGACTACCACTACTACTACTACTACAACTACACTACCTATTACTACTAGTATTGTTGTCGGCATCGGCACCGGTAGTCCATGGGGTCAAATGTCCGCCATCTATGGTAATCGTTCCGTGCAGTTGTGCCCAATATATCAATCAGATTTCCTGCTGGAATCTGAAACCGGATGTCAACCTAACCCATATATTTGTCAACTTGAGGAAAGCCGTCAGCAATGGTAATGGTGCCGATGCTGATGATGGTCTGCCCATCATATACGATGAATTCAAACTAATTCAATCCGAATTTACCGAACTGGGAACGGGAGCTGAAGCCGAGGACAGTGGTGGCGGCGATTTTTTTGCCGGTATAGCCTTCGCTAAGATATCTATAACAAAAAATCCGCGGCTCCGGCGTATACACAGCGGTGTATTTCGGGCATCGAGTCGTACGACAACATCGTTGACCATTAGCGAGAACCCAGTCCTGGGTAACGATCCGCCCAACGATCGCCAGATTTTCCAATTGATCAACAGTTTTACGGGACTAACCGAAGTCTGGCTGACGGACAACAATATTACCCGATTACCCGATCGGGCATTCGGTCGACCCCAACGATCTCTATCGTGGTTGTCCTTAATCGACAACAATATCGAGTCTATCGGTGATTACGCTTTTCATGGACTACCGGCTCTCAACTATCTGCTACTCGATGGCAATCGTATCGATCGGATAAGCGATAAGGCATTTGATTTTACCGACGACAGCGGTAGTGATGGTAGTGGTAGTGATAGTAGTAATCAGCAATTGTTGCGACTGTTTCTACGGGACAACGATCTCAATGACCAATCGTTTGCCGATCATACGTTTGATCGGCTCCGGAGGCGACTACTGATTGATTTGACTAAAAATAATTTGACATCACTTCGACCCGAAGTATTTGCACCGGTATTCCGGCGAAACGGTTCGGCAGTCATACTCCGACACAACCCGTTGGTATGCGATTGTCGTTTCAAATGGCTTCACGACCGACATCTACTGTACAATTCATCCGATCCCGACCGACACTATTTCGTACACAGTGTCCAGTGTAACGGTAGCCGACACGACAATCATCGGCTCAATGAGCTAACCGATAAACATTTCCAGCACTGTCCCCAGGATGACCCCCAGGAGCTACAAGCGATTAACTGTTTTCATAATAATGGTGTAGACTATGATTATCACCAGTGTCTCAATGATGATAATAGTGCCAATCAATTGTTAAATATTAATAATTATTACAAATTACTGTTATTAAGTGTTTTATTAATAATTAATTAATTAATTTTAATCAATATTTTTTTTAATGATATGATAATTTTGAATAATAATAATAAAATTAAATATTGTGTATAATTTATTTTATTTTTTTTTGCTAATTTATTATTAGTATTTTTTTAAAAAAATAGTATTGATTTAAATTTATATATTATTTAATATAATTGTATTTAAATTAATATTAATTATAAAACTTATATTATTAAGTATTAGAGCCAGAAAAAAATCTATGATTTTTAATCAGAAAATAATTAAATTATATTATTATTGTTTTTTTTGTATAATAATAATTTTTATTTTGTAAAATAAAAATGTTTTCAATGATTTTCAAATGTAATTATTATAATATTTTATAAAAAAATCAATAAATTATTGCCTTATATAAAGTATTATTATTATTAATAATAATAAACAATTTTCATAAATAATGATTAAAATAACTTATTTATAAAGTTTTTTAAAAAAAACTGTATTAAAATAATTAACTTAAAATATAAAGATATATTTATTGAATTAAATATACTTGTAATTGGTTACAGATCTACTGTTGTAAGTTAATTAAAATAATTAATTAAAAAATTTATGTATTTTTTATACATAATTAAATAGTAATAACACGTGTTTTTATTTAATTAGTAATAAGTTTTTTAATACAATTTTTTAATAATTACTGTTTGATATATAGAAACAAAAATATTGTGTAACAAAAAAATTAATTAATTAATTAATTATAATATATTTATAAGTAGTTAACAATAAATAAAACTAATTATTTAATTTAATTAATTAAATTAAAATCATAATGGCTGCTTTATAAATAGATTTTTTTAAAAATACAAAAAAATATATATATTTTTATATATTTTAATAAACTAAATGAAAAACATTGTATTAAATATTTGTGCTTTAATTGTAATAATATTTTACTTTTACTATCTGTGTTATCTAACATATAGGTATCTAATCTATACTATATTATTATTGTTACTAAAATAATTATCTATTAATTTATTAATTAAAAAAATAATTTTAATTATATATATATATAATTATTATTAATACTTAACTAATTAATTATAAACTATAAATTTTATTATAAAAATTATTGTATTTATAATTCAATAATTTTAGTCTAATATTATTATTTTTTAAATTATATTTTTTAAAAATTATTATTATTATTTAATTATCATTATTATTATTAATTAATTATTATTATTAATTTTTTTTAAAATTATAGTTATAATGACAAAAATGACCATGGCGATGATGATGATGATGATGGTGGTGGTGGTTATTTTGCAGATTAAATTGACCATGGTGATATTGGCAAAATCAATTGTTACGCTAATGATAATAAAATAAAAAGTTTTAAAAAAATCATATATTAACAAATTTTTTTTAAAAATAAATAAATTGATTGTCAAAATAAAACACAAAAAAAATCTAAATAATAAATTAATTTATTTGTTTTATTAATTTAATTAAAAAACATTATATAATTAATTTTTAATTACAAATAAGTTATTTTAAACAATAATTTCTAATTAAATATAAAAATTAATTTTTGTTAATTATTTTATTAGCCAATAGAGGACATAGTTTTGTTGTTTTCAAAATAGTAGTAATAAAATAAGCTATAAATAAAAACATATATTAGGGTTGTCAATTTACATTAAGTTTTATTCAACAAAAAAAAATAATTTAATAAAATAATTTATATTAAATTTGTAGATTATTTATTTAATTAAAAAAAATTATTAACAATAATATATAAATTGTTTGGTATAGTATTAAATAGTTTTTTTTAATTTTTTTTCAAAAAATAAAAAATTACTTTAAATTAAAAAAAAAATAAATAGTTTTAAATAACTATTTTTCAACGGTATATATGCCAACCCTATTCACATCACATACCATAGCAAACAGTAATAATAATATTATTAAACATTTTGTTTGTTATTATTATTATTATTATTATTATTATAAATGTTTTGCCAATTCATTCATTGCATTAAAACAATTGATTGATTGATTTGAAAGACAACAACAACTACTATCACCTGAAAAACTGATCCATTGATTATTAGTTTTACTATCTTCTAGTTGTTGTTGTTGTCCACCACTGGTTTGGACACTACCGATCTCACTGACCAACTGTGACCGAACCGTCGGTCGTCTTGTCCGTCGACCAGAGATTTAGGAGTTGTCCGACTCTTTACCGCCGCCGCCGTTGCCGTCGCCGCCACTGTTGTTGTTGTTGTTGTTGATGAGAATGTCTGCCGCAAGAAATTCAAGACTATTTATCGGTTCATTAGTTTTACGGTTTAATTCTGACCGCGAATTATTTTGGCCGCCATTTCAGTCTTAGAGAGAGAGAGAGAGACAGACAGACAGACAGACAGAGAAAGAGAGAGATATTTACCACAAGAAGAGAATAAATTGGTATTTGTTTACCACTATTGACGAAGAAGAAGAAGAAGAAGAAATTGAAGATATATTACCACTTATTTTTGATAATAAACTATAGGATTGAAACCAATTGATTGATTGATTGATTGATTTAAACCATTTCATCGACGACAACGACGACGACGACTATCACTACTACTACTACTACTTATTCAAGTCTTAATCGATAAGAAGTAGAAGAAATGGTAAAACATTTTTTAGTAATTTTATGTCTTGTTTTTACTGATGATGAATATCTGTCTCTCTCTCTCTCTCTCTCTCTCTCTCTCTCTCTCTCTCTCTCTCTCTCTCTCTCTCTCTCTCTCTCTCTCTCTCTCTCTGTCTCTCTCTATCTCTCTATTCTCTCTCTCTGTCTCTCTCTCTCTCTCTGTCTCTCTCTCTCTGTCTCTCTCTCTCTCTCTGTCTCTCTCTCTCTCTCTCTGTCTCTCTCTCTCTCTCTCTCTCTCTCTCTCTCTCTCTGTCTGTCTCTCTCTTTGTCTCTCTATCTCTCTCTATCTGTCTCTCTATCTGTCTCTCTATTTGTCTCTCTATCTGTCTCTCTATTTGTCTCTCTATCTGTCTCTCTCATTGTCTCTCTCTGTCTCTGTCTCTCTATCTGTCTCTCTGTCTCTCTCTCTCTGACTCCCTATCTATCTATCTATCTTAAGGAGCGAAACAACAATTATGGCAAACCGTCGGTTGTCGGCCGCAGCGGAGGCTATCGACAGCCGCCGCCGCCGCCGCACGAAATGAACGACAATTACAACTACTATGAAGACGATGACGACGACGACAATGATGACAAAGATAGACAATCATCGGATGACAACAACCATCAGCTGATGGATGTTTTGGACAACTTTCGCGAGAATTGGCGTAAAGAGTTGTTGTTTTCGCCGACAACACAGACATCGGCCACCAATCGGCGATTCAACGATACAATTGATAATAGTAGTGATGATATGTCGATCACTGATGTCGACCTGAAAGCCATGGAACTATTCAAAGAGGGCTCACTATTGGAACAAAGAGGCAAACTGTACGACGCTGTGGCCTACTATCGACGGGCCACCCAATTGGTACCCGATATTGAATTCAAAATGTATCGATTGGAGGCACAGATGATGAAAAAAGCTTCGGCCGATGATAGCAATACCGATAACAACTCCGTAGACGACGACAACAACACCAATCGTTCGGATATTGATGGCCAGCGAGGAGTTGCGGACAACGACAGCGACGAGTTTGATCCCAACGACGATCTGATTACACGATTTTTGCGTTCAAATACCGACGAATTCGGTAACTTTTGGCTTTGTTCGCCGAAACAGTTGACGACCAATACTACTACTACTACTACTACTACTATGTCTTCGTCATCGACATCGACATCAAGAGCACACTTTTCTTGTCTACCCATCGAAGTGGTCCTCAATATACTAAAATGGGTTAGCAATCAATCAATCAATCAATCAATTTGTTGGATCAATTGATTACTGATTACAATATTTATGTCTTATGTGTTAATCACAGATCGTGTCCAACGAACTAGACTTGCGATCACTGGAACAGTTCGGTTCAGTTTGTCGTGGATTTTATATCGTATCACGTAATCAATCAATCAATCAATTGCAACGACTTGTGGATCAATTTCTTATTGATTTTTTTTTTTTAAAAATTTTACTTTAGGTGACAGCGAATTGTGGCGACTATCCTGTCATAACACTTGGGGCAGCAATTCAAGCGTATCGACGGGCGGTACCGCTGCCTCGGCCGCATCCGCCTATGGCCACAATTGGCGCCGTATGTTTATCGATAGGCAGCGGCCTAATTTCAATGGCGCCTACATAAGCCGTACACAATATATAAGACAGGGCGACATATCGTTCAACGATTACTATCGGCCCTGTATTCTAGTCGAATACTACCGGTATATCAGGTTTTTTCCAAATGGTTTGTTTGTTGTCTTTATATACACCCATAACCCCATTGTACAGTATATACTGATTATATGTGATTGATTGAACTGACAGGACATGTGCTTATGTTGACCACTGCCGACGATCCCCGCCAGAGTCTACCGTTGCTTAGACAGCGTCAGCCGAAAAACAACAACAACGTACTCAGTGGTCACTATCGTATCAATGGACCGACAATTGCTATAGTCCTGCATCGGGAGTACGTAGCCGATGACTATACACAACTGTCCGCCCGTAATACTAATAAATACGGCAAGAAAACCCGCGATCGCCAATTGGCCACCCAAACGTTTAACATTACACTAGAGTTGCGCAATGTTCGCCATCGTCGTAATCATCAATTGGTTTGGCAACAGTATTCGGTCAGTTATCGCAAACCCAACAACGGTGGCGGTGGCGGCCAAGAATCGGGTGCCAATGATTTCGATCTGACCGGCAATAAGTTTCCGCCGTTTTGGTTCTCCCGAGTCAAGAGCTATGCGGCCAATGCTGACCATAAGCTTAACTAATACTTGCTGTAAAAATAAGTGGTATTTTTTGTCGTTTGATATGTGTGTTGAGTGAGAGAGAGAGCACAGGTAGGGAGGGGACAGTTGTTTGTTTCATCATATAGTGATTGTTTGTTACGGTAATTGAAATTTTTTGAATTTAATTTAATTGATTGAATAATATGGATATCAGAGTCATATTACTATTAGATATTATTATTATTATTATTATCCATAAATTGTGTGATGTATTGAATGTTAGTTTTTTTGTACTTATTTTAAAAAAAATATTATTATCAATATATATATATATATATTATTGATATAATTCAATCAATATGATATTTAAGCTATAATTTTATTATTATTATTTTTTTTTGTTGATTGAATTATTTGTTAGTTTTGTTTTTAATTTTTGTTTAATTTTTTTTATTACCCCGGTAATTATAATAATTTTTCAATAATCACACATTTGTACTGTTAATTATTTGTACAAATAATATGAGATAACATTTTTTTTAAAAATAATAATAATATTTTAAGTATCAATTTTGTTATATATATATATATATATATATATTATGATGACATGAGTTGTTATTATTTTTTTAATTGTTTTTTTTGAGATTGAAATTCCCAGTGATATATATATATATATATATATATATATATATATATATATACCGTAATATTACCTGTAATTTACTGGTAATTTAAGAGTAATTTTTTTGCGTAATTAATAATCTTTATATATATAGATATATTGATTCATTGATTGTTATAAATATCGTTAAATATAATATTTTCTTAAATATTTATATACAAATTGTTGTTAATTAAAAAATAATAATAATATTATTAATAATATATTTTTTGCGTCCGTTAAAAAATAATATAATCATATTATACTGTAATAATAATAATAATAATGATAATATTGTAATAATATTTCAATACATACATTTGAAATTATTATATTTAATTATTAATATAATTATTAAAACAAAAATGTAAATCAATTTAAAATAAATATTAATAAATAAATTGTTATATGTTATGACAATTAATTTTTAAAAGTTTATTTAAATTTTTAAATTTTATAAATAACATAAATATATGTACAGTTATGTCATATATATATATAAATATATCTAAACTATTGATATAATTTTAAAAATTAATATTATTGTACAGCACCTGTAGTTTATATAATTATTTTTTAGTTGCAATTTGATTGCAATAATATGTAAAATACAAGATATCATAACTTTTTTTTTGTATATATCATATATTTTATTCAACTAACAATAAAAATTAATTTAATTATTTATTATTATTATTCATTAATATTATTAGTTTTTGATGCCATTTATACTGTACTATAAATGTTATGTTTATTATTTGTTATTATAATTTATAAATATAATAATATGCGTTGAAAAATAAAAATGCTTAATAATCACAAATAATAGATATTCAGTATATATATATATTACTTATAATATATATATATATATATATACAGTATATATAATTAAAGTTTATATGCAATAAAGTACTTATATATTATTTATAATTAATATATTATTATTATTATTATTAATACATTAATACTGTATAAACTGGATGTGTTTACTATAATAATAATAATTATTATTATTATTATTATTGTTGCAAAATTTAGTAATATAACTTAATTATAATAATAATAATTAATTAATTATTAATTTATTTAGTATTATATTTAATGACAATATTAAATGTCATCATCATCATTTTGTTTGATGCTAAGTTAATTTTAATAATTTACACTGATGATACTACTAATATTATATTAATATCATAATAAATAAAAAATAAAAGTTACTAAATAAATATTATAACAATTTATTTTGCAAATAAAATATTTATTTATTTCAACAAAAAAATGTTATCATATTTTTAATTTATTTATGAAACAATATATATATATATATATATTATATTTATATAATTAATATTATCTATTATATAAAACATATATATATATATATATATATATATATATATATGATGTCTGTCTATAAAAAAAATGCAATAAATATTTTATATATAAATTTTTTACTATATTTCATAAATAATAGTTATCTAACAAATTTATTTTCAAATGTTATCACAAAATCTATACTATTGTTTACCGTAAAAGTTGAATATATTATATTTTTATTGCAATATATAGTGTATATATTATTTATATAATATATAAGCTATTAAACCGTTATTTTTTATTATTATTATTATTATAAAATAAATTAGAAAATAAAAAACTCAATTTCCTTTTGACATTAAATTAATTCATTACAACACTTGTATTATTATTATTATTAATATTATTATTGTTGTAAAAATTAAATGATATGATTAGCAGAAAAAAAGTTAATATTATATACTATTTGTAATTAATTCATATTTATTATAGTACTTAAAAATATCAAACATGTATTTTTCTACAATAAATATATTAATAAAAATTATATATTATATACAGTATATATAAGTTTTCAATAAATATGACAATAATAATCACAATATACATGTATATCTATATTTTGTTTGATTGATGTTCAAACAAACAAAATTAAATTAAACATACAAATAAAATATCTATAAAAAACGTTACAATAAAATTATATATATATAATCTAATTAAATATTAGTTTATGTGTTAATTTTTTTTATATAAATCAAAAAAAAAATTATAACAAAACAAATAAATTGCTAAATCATTGTTAATCGCATCCATAGAAAAAATTACTTACAATTATATATATATATATATTTACTATGTCTAGTACTATGACTTAATATATATATATATATATTTATGTGATATCATCATTACCTTAACAACGATTTTTATTATATCATATATATATAAATTTATTATTTACTGTAATTTTTATTTGAACCAATAATAATAATAATAATAACTACAAATTTCATATTATATAAGTTATATATACCTTATTTTCAAGTAATAGACCTAACCTATTGTTTGTCACCCCCTGTATATTGAAAATAATAAAAAAAAACGGTATTACCTGTGATTGCATTTAATGGTTTAAACATCCTATCCATCCATTTATTATTATTATTATTATTTTATTTTTATATTACCAGTCAATCACTATTGTAATTGTTTTGTGTGTGAAACATTGAAAATAAAAATATAACATAAAAATAATAATTGCTGACAAAAAAATAGTAAATTTTATTTAATATATATCATTGACTAACATTGTGTGTGTGTGTGTGTAAAACATAAGTAATTTATTATTAAAATTTTTTTTTATTTTATCGATGAATATATAACACATCAAATAAAATATAATAAATTAATATACATTTACTTTATATATTAAATATACAATATCATATTAGTGTTACTAAAATAATAATAATAATAATAATAAAAAATTTATACAACAATTATTTATTGTTCAATCATCGATATATAGATATTTACATACCATATATAGACTATATACTATATATATATATAACTATCTATAATATATATAAAAAAGATAATAAAAATTATTTATTATTAAATAAAATTAGTTTTTTAGTGTCACTACTACTACTATCATATATATCATCCATAAAAAAATAATAATAGTTTTTTTTGTCATTATTTTTCCTAACAAACAATTTTGTGTTTTTGTTTGTTTGTCAGTTATTTTTATATACTCTACTATACATAGATATATAACAAAAATTTAATTATCATATATTTTATTGTGTATATAAAATAATATATATATATATAAAACAACATGGCTGTTAGTTGTGGTGGATCAGTGATTAAAATTTTGCTATTTATTTTCAATGGTATCTGGGTGGTAAGTTTATTATTATGATTATTATTATTTAAAAATAATTATATACATGTTAATTTATTTTATTGTAAAAATAATAAATTGAAAATCGTATCAAATATATAGTAATTAATTTTAATATTTAATAATTTAAGTTTAAATAATTTTTTTATCTTATCAATAATAATAATTTAGATAAATAGTGAAATAAATAAGTTATATATTTATATATTTAAATATATTATTTAATTAATAATACTTTATTATCTATTAATAGTTAAAAAAAATATTATATAGTTATTAAACAAAAAATATTGTTTGAATTTATCTATTATTACATTATATATATAAATATATATTATATCATATATTATCAGTGTATTACACTTCAGGGGTGATAAAGTAATGTTTTAATATAAATATTTATTGTTTATTAGTATTGTTACACAAAAAAAATTATTTATTTAGTTTTATTTCAATATATATTTAGGAAACTATAGTTAGAAAATTTTTTATACAGTAATATTGATAATAATAAACATTTTTAAGACAATAAAATTGTTTGAAGATATAGATAGTGTTGTTTTGGCAGCAATTGATAAGAGAGAGAGAGATTCAAACATTGATAATCATATTAATTATTAGTATTATTATTACACATTGTGTTATAACAATAGCATTATATGATTAAATAAAAAATTGATAATTATTTATATATATATATATTTTTAAAAAATTAAAAATCATATTTTTTTTGTATAATTATGTGGACAGTTATGCGGTGCGGCCATCATCTACCTGGGCGTTCGGGTAGTACTCATATACAACAACAACGATATATCGCAGATAATACATGAAACACCTAAGTATTTATACATATATACCTATTTTTTATATGATATTAAATTAACACAAACAACAATTTAACACTTAAACTATTATATTAATATATATATATATAAATTAAAAACTATTAAAAACAATTAATTAATAATTATTATAATCAATAATTTTCATATCAACTTATTTTTAAAAATATATTGATATATACTATACTTTTTTAATTATGTAATTACACCAACAAATTATCAATGAGAGTAAAAAAATAATATAAACTTCAAATTATAACAAAAAATTTACATTAAATTACTGAAAATTTTTAATTAAATACTAATATTAATTAATTAATTAATTAATTAATTATTATCTTATAGTCACTCAGCAGTGGTACTGATAGCCGCCGGCGGACTCATATTGGTATTCAGTTTTCTCGGCTGCTGTGGGGCTATAAAGGAGAGCACATGTATGCTAAATACGGTATGATTTTTATTAAATTAAAAAATAATAATAATTAATATAATAATCAATAACACTATATTGAATGATATCTATCTATCTATGTTATGGACAGTACGGCGGACTTATACTGATATGTCTGGCAGCTCAGGGAGTCGGTGCATATCTGGCCATCCGATATAATTATGATGTATTGTATTGTATATCAATTGATTTAATAATAATTACTATATTACCGTTCCCACACCCACCCCACTACACCCCCACTAATAGCTGGAACAGTATGCCAACGATGGTATCAAATCGGCACTTCATAGCTACGATTGGTCCAAACCATCGACTGATCCGGCCAACCGGGCTATCAACGAATTTCAACGGGAGCTACAGTGTTGCGGTGCCAAAAGTCGTAACGATTGGAAACTACCGGAGCCCGACTCTGGTATGTAAACGTTGTTAACCCCTCCCCCCAACCCATATATATAAACATCATAACTAACCCAACCGACACCCACCCTACCACCATTACTAGTAGTCCCCAATTGTATGTGTGTGCCTAAATATGACAACTCCCACCCACCCAATTCCATAATAAACTTTATACTAACTAATCCAACCCCACACCCACCCTACCACCACTACTAGTAGTAGTCCCCAAATGTATGTGTATGTGTGCCTAATTATGACAATACCCACCCCACCACCACTACTACTACTAGTAGTCCCACACACTACCCACCCACTCACCTACCCGCCCCCCTATTTATGATAATTTACGTAATTTACTTACTTAAAAAAGCTTCTCAAGTAATCTACTACCCTGGGTCCTGTTGTAAAGACAAATCGGCCATCACACCCGACAACAAATGTCCCATTACTAGTACCTGGGTAAGTTAACTAACTTAAAATTACATAATTATTTAATTAATTTTAATAATTAACTTATAATAATAACTCATGATATTATATCTTGAATTATATATCTGATTATTATATACCAATCAGATATATAACTCAAGATAATATCATTGTTATTATTATAAGTTAATTATTAAGATTAATTAAATAATTATCTATCTATTAATTATCTATTAATTAAAATATTATAGTTAAAAAATATTCATACATATAGTATATACTGTATTTATGATTACAATTGTGAACTATACGGTATATTAAGTATAATTATTTAATAAAAACTAAATTAATAAAAAAAATATAATTGTGTTTTTTTTGTCAATTTTTTTTATTTTTTTGAAAAATTATTTTAGGAAAAAGGTTGCACTCAAGCAATGCTCGACTATATGACCATGTACATTGGTAGTTTAGGTATAATAATATATATATCACCAGTGTCAATTTATATTATTTAATTATATATATTTTTTATATATAATTTGTTTTTTAATTAAATGTTGATTTAAAAAACAAAAATTTAAATTAATTAATTAATTTCTATTTTTAAATAATTAATTAATTTCTATTTTTAAGTAATTAATTAATTTCTATTTTAAATAATTAATTAATTTCTATTTTAAATAATTAATAATAATTTCTATTTTAAATAATTAATTAATTTCTATTTTAAATAATTAATAATAATTTCTATTTTAAATAATTAATAATTAATTTCTATTTTAAATAATTAATAATAATTACGATTTTAAATAATTAATAATAATTTCTATTTTTTAAATAATTAATAATAATTTCTATTTTAAATAATTAATAATTAATATTTTGAAATATTTAGGTTATGTGGCCATCGGTATAGTATTGATTGAACTGTTGATATTGGTATCGGCTTGTTGTCTGGTCAGGGATATCAAGTCCCGATACGCCGATTATGGATCACCGGGTGGTAAGCCAAGGGGTGCCTAAAAAAATAATAGGCTAAATGGTGACGACATACCGGTGCTTATATATATATATATATATAATAACCGATTTTTTCAAAACTAAACTATACTATCATATTATTATTATTATTATTATAAAGTCATAAAAAATTAATTAATCAATAATTGAATTAAATATTATTAGTATTATGTGTTAGTAATAACTATATACTTAAATACAGTATTTATACACAATATGTGTTACAAATAAAATTTTAATCACAATTTTAATTATAGAAAATAATAATTATTAATATATTAACTAAAAAAGTATATATATATATATATAATAGTTTTATGTAAAATAGTTTTATTTAAAAATTAATAACATTTTTAACTATAAATTATCTATTATTTAAATAATTTTATTATTTTACAATTGATTTTAATTTTGATTATAATTGATTGTTTCATAATTATATAATACAGTATCTATTAAACTGATATAAATAAATAACTAATTTATGTTATTTACAATTTTATTATTATTATTATAACTATTAGTAACTATTATTTTTATTATTATTTAAAAAATCAATTGAATATCATTTATATTAAGCACAGAAACACATGTAAATCATAAACTATTTTTTTCAATAATAATAATAAAACAATAAATTCAAAAATAAAATCTATAAAATTAATAATATATATAATTATTTTTTATAAACAGTATAAAAAACTTAATACCCTTAATATATTATTTTTGGTTTTATATTTATCAACAATAATAGATTATTTTAAAAAATAAATTATTAAAATATAAAATAAAAAATATCAATTATTATTATTATTATTATTATTCTAATTATTTATTATGATATTTTTTTTGTTATAAATACATTATTTAATTTAATTTATATGATATATATTATTAAATTTTTATGGTATACAATCACCTATTAAAATTTAGATGATCAAGCTAATATTTGTGTTTGATAGTTATTACCTGGATAGTTGTATTTCATCGAGTTATTAAAATATATAGTTAATACTAATAATAATAGTAATAAATATTTGGATTTTTAAGTTTTACAGATTTAAATTAAACAATTAAAAAATATCAAATAATGTTTAATTTAATGTACTTATAATGTATATACTATTATAATTATATTTATTTCAAATTATTAATAATAATAGTAGCAAAATAATAACAAACAAAAATCAATAGTTTTTATTTATTTTTTAAAATTTAAAAGCAAAACATTACAATTTGTAACAAAAAAAAATAATAATAATTAATATATTAATTAATAAAAACAAAATTGTTTATTTTATTTTCAAATTAATAACACATTATTTATTACTTATATACTAAATGTATTGATATTTTTAAAATAAATAATATATTGTTTATATTTATTTTAATTATTTTAAAACACATTCAAAAGCAACACATTTTTCATCCGGTTCACAACAGTCTAGGCCACACCAATCTTTACAGTCACCTGAGCCAGCAACTTATTACAAAAAAAAATTAAATAAAAAAAAATAAAAAAATAATTATATTTAAAAAAATTGTTGATTTTTAAAAAAATCAATATTATTAAACATATATTATACAACAAAAAAAATAATTATAAAAGAAAACATTAACATAAAATAAATTATTAGTAATAAATTAGTAATAAATTCAAAAAAATAATAATACAATACAAAATATATTACTGTAGTATAATATTATTATTTTACTAATTATTTATTTTTTTTAAAAAAATAATCTATTATTATTAATAATAATAACAATAACTATAATAATACTATTAAAATTATCTAGTACAATTTAAATTTATTTTTTTTATTTTACATAATACTTACTTAGCTTAATCATAGATAGTATAACACAAACAACTAGTATAGTTAATCGCATCGACATTATAAACTAAAATATATATAATAATATATTTTATAAAATTATTTTTAGATAAGTTATAATTTAATAAAATTTTTTTATTAAACTAACTAGCTAGAATAAAAATATGCTCCTTATATACCCAATAAAAATTATTATTATTATTAAAAAAATACCCTTGTTTATTATTTTTAACTTAATTAATTAATTAGCAATGATAAATTAGTATTTATTATTTATTTAATATTTATTATAATGTCATGATAATAGAAATTTCCAAATTGTGTTTTTTTAATTAAGTTTCAAATAATATTTATTGTTTATTTAATTTTTAATATAATAACAATAATAAGATGATCAAGCTAATATTTTATTGTTATTATAATTATTAGTAATATTTTATTTAAGTAATATTGATTATATTAGTGTAATAATGTTTTTTGAAACATACAATAATTATTTAAGTCAATAAAATTTTATTAATTGTTTAACAAACAAACATATAAATCAAATTAATTATATTCAAAATTATATAATAAAAGAAATATATATTTTTTTATTAGTTTATTAATACTGTATATAAAAATATATATAATATTTTTTGTATACAAAATGTTTTTTTCTAAAATTTAATTGTTATTAATAATTAATAAACAAAATAGTAATTAAATCAATTATTAATTAAATATATTTTTTTAGTGTATATTGTTTTTATTAGTAAATTAAAAATTTAATTAAAAAAATGTATATTTGAAACTAAATAATTTTTTATATAAAATATATATGTAGTTTAGTTAATTAATACACAAAAATGTGCTAGCTAATATTGTACCTAATTAATTAGGTTAGTTACGCAAGTTAGTAGCAGTGGATGATCAAGCTAATATTTTTGTTTTGTCTGAGTTATTATTTAAATTATATATATATATAATACTTAAATAATTTTTAGTTAATTTTTTTAGTTTATTATATATTTTGTTTGTTTGTTAAGTCTAAAGTATATAAATATTTTTTTTTTTAAATAATTAATTTGTATACAAAATAATTTTTGAAAAATTTATATTTTTAACCTAAAACCTTCTATACCTTATTATAAAATTATTATTATTGTAAATGTAAAATAAATATTTATTGAGTTTATTAAACTTTTTTTTATTGTAATTGATAATATTAAAAATAAAATTAAAAATAATAATTTTTTGTTCTTGTTGTAAATGAATCTTAATGATATTGAAATTGAATTATTCAAAAAAAATTAAACATTATAATTTTATAAATATTATAATAATACAAAATAAACAAATTTTTTATTTAATAATAACAATACAATATAATTATTTTACTAACAACTAGTTAAAAATTATTTTAGAAATTAAATAATAATAACTAGAATTTTGAATTAATAATTTAAAAATATTAATTACAATTAGCAACAAATTTAATAATCTAATTATATACAAATAAATAAATTCAACAAAAAAAACAACATTGATTATTTAAATTATTTAAATGTACTAAACTGTATATTGTTATTGATTACACACACACACACAAAACATATTAATTGTAATAATTAGTATATTAATTAATAATTATTATTTGTTTAAAATTTATTTGTTAATATTAAATATTATCAACAACAAAAATATATATATATATATATATATATATATATATATATATATATATATATATATATATATATGTATTATATCATTGAATTTATAGCATTATCCAATGATACCGTATTATATACACATATTTAACCATGTGGTACACAAAATATACCTAAACACTGCTCATCCTCCGGACAGCAACCAAATAAACATTGTTCACAATCATCAGTATCTGAGCTAGCTAAAATTAATTAATTAATTAAAATAAATAAAAATTATTAATAAGTAATAATTTAAACAGTAGCAAAAAATTACTATTATTTGTATTGTTTTATTGTTTAATTAATATATATATATATATATATATATATATATATACTTACAATCACCAAGCAGCATCATCATAGTAAATGTTAGCATAATAGTAATTATGTATGATAGTAATAATGTATTAAATCTAATCATTATTATTATTATAGTTGATCAAGGTACAATTTTATTAACAATAATATTAAATTGTAAATTTTCAATTAACTAAATTATAAATCTATAATATATCTAAAATGAAACTAATTTTAAAAAAATAAAATGTGTTTCTTATATACTCTCTCTCTCTCTCTCTCTCTCTCTCTCTATATATATATATATATACTATAATATATACAGTATATGTTTAGTTTTTAATTATTTAATACAGACACCAAAAAAAATGTGCTTGCTAATATTGTACCTAATTAATTAAGCTAGTGTGTGACAAGTTTAATAGCAGTGGATGATCTAGCTAATAATATTTTTGCAAATAAATAATTTTTAATATTTCATAAAAATATTTAAAAATATTTAATTATAATAATAAATAACTTATTTATAATTTGTATAAAAATGATTAATTAATAACATTGATAATACTAAAAAAAAATGTAATGTCTAACATTTAAATACTTATTTATATATATATATATATATATATATATATATATATTTATATCTAAAACAAACAAACAAATAATATATAAATAATTAGTTATAAAGTTTATCATAAAAATTATAAAATATCTTTATTGGTTTATATACAGTGTATATATAGAAAAATATATAATTATTTTTTTGTACACATAATGTTTTTTATTTATTTAATTGTTAATAATAATTAATAAACAAAATAGCAATTAATCAATTATTAATTAAATATTTTTTTTAAATATATTTATTTAACAACAAGAAAATTGTTTTTATAAGTAAATTAAAAATTTAATTAAAAAAATGTGTATATATAAAAAATCAATTATAATTTATTAATTACATATTTAGTTTAGTTAATTAATACAGACAAAAAAATGTACTTGATAATATTGTACCTAATTAATTAAGCTATTTACACAAGTTAGTAACTAGATGATCAAGCTAATATTATTGTCTAAGTTATTATTTACATTATATATATATATATTGTGTAATACTTAAATAATTTTTAGTTAATTTTTTAGTTTAATTATATATTTTAATATACAATTATAAGTTTGTTTGTTAAGTCTAAAGTATATAAATATTTTTTTTGTTATAATTAATTTGTATACAAAATAATTTTGAAAAATTTATATTTTTAATCTAAAACAATATACCTTATTATAAAAATTATTATTATTGTAAATGTAAAATAAATATTTATTGAGTTTATTAAACTTTTTTTTTAAAAGTAATGTACTAGTAATTTAAATGATCAAGCTAATATTTTGTTTTTTATTAAGCAATAAGTAATCTAAAAAATAGTCTAATATTAGTAAATTGTTAAAAACTAATAATATTAAAAATAAAATACAAAATAATAATTATTTTTGTTGTTGTTGTAAAAAAATGAATCTCAATGATATAAATTGAATTATTTAAAAAAATAAATTTAAAACATTATAACTATTATAATAATACAACATAAAACACAAACATTTATATTTAATAACAATACAATATAATTATTTTTTACTAACAACTAGTAAAAATTATTTGATAGATTAAATAATAATAATAACTAGAATTTTTAATTTAATTTAAAATATTAATTCTAATAAACATTACAATTATAATAATCTAATTATATAAAATAAATAAATTAAAAAAAACAAAATATTGATAATTATTATTTAAATGTACTAAACTGTATATTGTTATTGATTACACACACAACAAAAAAACATATTATAATTAGTATTTAATTAATTTGAAATATTTTTCCATTTAATTATGTATTAATTAATTAATTAATTTAATTGTGTATTAATTAATTAATTTAATTATGTATTTATTAATTAATTTAATTATGTATTAATTAATTAATTTAATTATGTATTAATTAATTAATTTAATTATGTATTTATTAATTAATTTAATTATGTATTAATTAATTAATATAATATATATATATAATATTATATTATCAATTTACATCATCATCCAATGATACCGTATTATACCTACATTTAACACACACACACACACACACACACACACACCCACCCACACCCACCTACCCCAGTGTGTATTAAAACCCTTATTATTATTATTATTTAAAAAATTTTATAAACACATAATAGACCAAGTAGACATGTTTCATCCTCTGGACAGCAACCCAATAAACACCTTGGTTCATCTGGATCATCACATTGTGTATCTGAGCTAGCTAAAAAATTAATTAATTAATTAATTAAAATAAATTAATATTATTAGTAATAATTTAAACAGCAAAAAAATTTGTACTACTATTTTCTATTGTATTGTTTTGCTGTTATTGTTTAATTATAGTAATATATACTTACAATCACCAAGCACCATCATATTAAATGTTAGCATAATAGTAATTATGTAAAATAGTAATAATGTAAATCTAATCATTATTATTATTGTTATTATAGTTGATCAAGGTACAATTATTTAACAATAATTAAATTGTTTTTTAATTAACTAAATTAAAAAATCTAATATATCTATAATGAAACTAATTTTTAAAAAATAAAATGTGTTTCTTATATACTCTATATATATATATATATATATGTGTGTGTGTATATATACAGTATATGTTTAGTTTTTAATTATTTAATACAGACAAAAAAATGTGCTTGCTAATATTGTACCTAATTAATTAAGCTAAATGTGACAAGTTAGTAGCAGTGTATTATCAAGCTAATTATATATATTTTTCATTTAATAATTTTTAATATTTCATAAAAAAATAATTGAAATATTTAATTATAATAATAATAAATAATAATATTTATATTAAATGATTAATTCATAACATTGATAATACATATAAATTATATATTATTATATATATACATATTTAAAACAAACAAACAAATAATATATAAATAATTAGTTATAAAGTTTTTTTTATAAAAATATAAAATATATTTATTATTAATAAAATAAATTATAATTATTTTTTTTGTACACAAAATGTTAAATTATATATTAGAGACAAAAAAATTACAATTAATTATTATTATTATTATATATTCAATATTAATTTAATATAAATTATGAAATATTAGATGAAATACTATTAGATATATTAAATTATTTATAACAGCAATAGTAATTACAATATTTAGTTTATCGGCGGCGGCATAGTTGGCCACCAGTGGACAGGGAAGCGGATTATCGTCCATCAGTTCCCCACTACTACTACTAGTAGTCATACTGTTATTATTATTAATAATATAACTATTATTATTATTATTATTATTATTATTATCACTATTAAAACAATGTCGGAAATTATCTTTGAATAGCCGACACTGAAAGTCAATACGTTGGCCATAACTGATGGTTAGGTTATTATTATGATTACCGCCGCAATGTTTTTCAGCGGTTGTCCATCGCATACGACAATCGCTACAATTGATAGGATTGCGCCATAATTTCAGAGTAACTGACCGTAATTTAAACAATGGTTTGACCAGCGATTCATTTAGATAGTCAATCAGGTTATCGGATAGTTGTAGATCAACATAGGGTCGGCCAATGGCCAGTAGTGAACCCGACCGGAATGATGTCGAATTGAGACGATTTTTACTCAAATCGATAAACAGATGGCCACCGATAGCACGGCCGCCGCCACCGCCGCCGCTGTCGCGGACAACATGTGGATCACTGAATGTCAGTGATTGCGGGTCCAGTCGATCGATAAGATTGTTTTGTAGGGACAGATAGGAAATACTGGGCAATTGGCTGAATGCCCGATCACCTATACTACCGATACGATTGTTGGCCAACGATAGCCTACGTAGACGTGATTGCGGGCCAGAGATTTGTCGAAAAGCATCGGCCGGTATATACTTGAGGCCACAGTCGACAACATGTATGAGACTGGCATTGAGGAACTGACTCAATACCCGAAATAGCTGGTCGACACTGTCATCCCGGCGCCCGAGTGATGGATTGGCTTCCAATACTACCCGATCGGTAATACCGTAAGTGGACTTAAATGCTTCCGTATGTATTGTTTCGAGATAGTCATTGTGATCGATGGCCAACTCCCGGAAGGCATACCTGTCCAGAGTATCCGATTCAATGGAGTCGACTATTGAGTTTTGAAACTGAAATTTTTCGTATATAACCACTGATGGCTGTCCACTATCTGTTGACGGTATTAGTTGACGACTAGACTCTTGAAATATTTGTTTCAGTACCAGATTTGATGATATAGTTTTGCCGCAATTAAATTGGGATAATCGGGTACTACAGTCGCACGGATAGACTGTATAGGCTGGCGGACATATAGCCGGTGCCGATAACACCGATGATGACCTACTGGTGCTGTATATTTGGTGCAATAGCTGTACTAATAGTAGATTCAGTGTCCAATGTCTGACTATTATTTAATATTAATAATAAGTATTCAATAAAAAAAAATATTAAATTAATTTTTTCAAATAATTTATTACTAATTATAATTAAAAACATTGTTATTATTATTATTATTAATAGTATTTTTTGTTGTTAAAAAATTTTTGATTAATTATTTCTATGTCAATATATATGTGTGTTATATATTTTATTAGTTTTTTTAAAAAGTAATAAATTATAAAAAAAACTAAGAAACCAAACAACAAAAATGTTGACTTTAATCCAATTATTTTAATTAAGATAATTTTATTTATTTATTTTAAAATAGATTATATTTTTTTAATAATATAAAAACTTATAGATTATAACTATAAACAAAATTTTTTGAAAAAATTAAATTTAAAACATTTTGTTTTTTTTGGATAAAATTGTATTTTAAATATTTTTCTAAACTAATAAAATAATTAAATAACAATTGGGTTAATATTATATTAATACTTGAATACAATTGAATTAATTTGAAATTAGTTAATATAATTAAATAGATAATTGTAAAACAATGCTAAAATTATAAATTATAATTTATCTATAATTTAATAATAAAAATAAAAATATTATTTAATGTAAGTTAGTTAGCAACAAAAAAACAACAAAAAATACATTATAATTAACTATTCAACAAATATTTGAGTTTTTTTTGTTAGTTTTTCATTTAATTTGTTTTTCAAACAAATATCAATGCTATTTATATAGTGTACTTAATATTAATATATAATGTAATTTACAGTACATATTAATTTATAAAAATGTTTTTTTTTATTAAGTACTTATAATATCGTATAAAAATATATAAATTTCAAAAAATATTATTATCTTAATATGAAATCAAATATGAAAGTTGTTTTTATTATTATTATAACTATCATATATACTGTATATATATATATATATATAATATAATATATATATATATATGTATGTATATATATGTTGTAAATATTTTATATGATTTATTTTTAAGCAATTATTTCATTAACATAATACCGTAAAAATTTTTTTGTTTTGTTTAGTTTGAATGTTGAATATAATAATATTAATATTAAATCATAAATATATTTTTAGTTGTTTTAGTTGTATAATTAAATCATAAAAATTTATTGTTAATAGAAAAATATTGTTAAATTTATATATATATATAAATATCTAAAAATATTTTGATTGATAGCAACAAATATGTTAAACATTACTGTATAATACTATAGTATATAATTGTTATTATATACTAAACAATAGATTTATTTTTTAAAAATAATAGTTTATTGTATTATAATTAATAGGATTATATATATATATATATATATCTAATAATAAATAAATAAATACTACTATAATATCTATTATAAGTGTAATGTTAGTAATTAAAAATTAGTTGTATAATATTATAGTAAAAGTTATAGTAAATATTTTTTAAAACAAAATATTTATACAAAAAAATATATTAATACAATATATTATTAGTTAACTATTTATTTTTGTATATATATATATATACGTAAAATAGGTGTTAATTTATACACTGTATTTACACCCATATTATTATTGAATAAATTATACATATATTTTAAAAGCTATACCTAATAGGTATTACCCATACATACCTCTCATGTTGTTGTTGTAGTTGAGTTTTGCACTGGTAGTAAATTTTATATATATATATTAAATATAAACTTATTTTATATGAATATTTTGTAATAAAAATTGATGGATAATATTTGCAAAAATATTATTATTATTATTATTCACGTCAATCATTATGCATATAAATATATATATATATTCAATATTTAATAATATTTATGATTCATATATATTATATTTTTAATATTTTATTATATGTTATATAAATAACAAAATTTATGTTTAACTAAACTAAACAAAAAACATTTATTATAAAAATATTATTAACAGTAGTATTATTATTATAAAAATTTAATATCCATAGCGTGTATATCACTATTTAGTTTATTATAAAAAAAACTTGAAGATAAAAATATAAATGTATTTTATTTAAAACATTAGTTATTATTATTATTATTTTAAATGTTGTTAAACAACTAAACCGTTGTGTTATTTTAGTTTAGTTAAAATGATTTATGTTTTATATTATATATATACTGTACCACAAAATAAAAATATTAATTATGTTTTACATTACTATAAAAGTATATAACAATTATATCAAACATACATATGTTATACACATATACAGTATATATACTGTATATTTAACAAATTGTATCAAACAATAGATATGTATGAAAAAAAACATCAACAACTTTGTTGTTGTTGTTATCGTATGTATGAAACAGTTGGTTGAGTTGGTTGGAGGGGTTAGGACTTGTAAACTGATGGGAACGGTGTGTATGTATATATATGAGGAATGTTGTCATCGCTTAGGTATCTCTCTCTCTCTCTCTCTCTCTCTCTCTCTCAACTATGGCACCGGCATATGTTATGTTAGGCACTACTAGTAGTACTACTAAATGTACAAAACTTATACTACATATATATTTTTACCCACCATTTGACTTACTTGTTAGTATTCAGGGTCTTTCCCCGGTTAGAGAGAGAGAGAGAGAAAGAGAGAGAGAGAGAGAGAGAGAGAGAGAGAGAGAGAGAGAGAGGACAGGCAGCTTACATATACAATACATACTAACCTTATATTATACTACCAGTGCTTAAACACATGTATGAATAGCCGGTCTCTCTCTCTCTCTCTCTCTCTCTCTCTCTCTCTCTCTCTATGTATGTATGTATGTATATATAAAACATATATATATATATGATGTGGTTATATGTATGCCATGTAAGCCTATCGCTGTCAAAGTCAAGGTTTGATAGATAATATTATAAGTTTTTTGTGTATGTATTTCATTTGAAATTTGATTTTTTAATTTAATAGTAATTACAGTATTTAGTAGAATATATTTCAAACATTTTAAACATAATTTTTTTTGTTTTGTATTTTTTTTGTCAGTATTTTATTTAATCATTGAAATATTAGTAATAATTTTTTTTAAAAAAAATATTTGCGATATAAACTTAAGTATAGTTTATATCTTATAACTTATAAGTTATAAAACATTTTTTGATTTTTGTAATAAAATTATATATATTTATAACCAAACAGTTTGAATGGATTTTTATATAAATTTTAAATGTATTAAAACATATGTTTATAACTGATATATTATATGATTTGTAAAATGGTTTTTATTTGATTGTTATGAGTTGTTTGAGTGTAGTGTAGGTATAGTTAAAATAAAAAAAAACTTTTTAAATTAATTAACAAAAAATAAATAAAATATTTTTTTAAAAACTGTTTTCAAGTCACTTATCATGCATTACATTATACAGWCATTTAAACAGTAAATACCGGTTGATATCATATACTGTATATTAAAATGCATTTTATTATATAATAAATTTAAAAAAGTATTATTAAAACTTTATATCAACTGTAGATATAATAAATGTTTTATTTTTTTGTCAGACAAATATGTCACACAAAAAACCAGTATATGATTAATAGTATTGTTATATCATATATGATATATTAGATAATACTTAAGTTGATGTCATTTAAAGTTTTTTGACACTTATATCATGTGTATGTGTCATCTAATTGAAAATTATAATAATAATAATTATTATTATTATTTAGAATAGTATTGTTTTTWWAAAATAATTTATGAATTAAATGTTTTTGTTTAAAATAAAAAAACAAAAATTGTTTTTCTAAATATAAAATTTTAACTATATAAATATAATTTATATGCATATACAATAATAATGTATAAACTTATATAATTAAAATATAATTTTTTAATATATATATTACAATTATGTTTTAATTATATAAGTTTATAAATGCAAATTAAATATATAATGTTTATATCCGATATATATATATATATATTTATATATATATATATATATAGTTAGTTAATGATAATTATTATTATTTCATACTAATTCATATTATAAAAGTAAATTAAGTTTTAAATTTTAAAAATAAATGAATAAAATAATAATTAATTTATATATTGATTTATTTTTTTTTAAAAAATATACGATATACTATTTATATATTTTTTACAAATAATAATTTTTTTTATATCATTTAAATAAAAATTTTAACAGGCTTATTTTGTAATATTTAAAAAAAATTACAGTATATATAATTATCTAAATAGTTAATGAATCATGAATTATTGTATTATAGTTACTGAATTAATGAAAAAAATATTTAATTAATTTTAATTATTTAATTATTTTTTTAAAATAAATTATTAATTAATTTTCTTTTATATAAGTTTATATAATGCAAATATTTATATAATATAACTAATATATAGAAATATATTTATAAAATAAAAAATATATATATATATATATATACACATAAGAATATTAATTTAAATATTATTAATAAAAAAAATTAAACAAATATATTGAAAAACTAATTAAAATTTATACAAATATAAATAAATTTTATTATTATATTAGTTTAATAAAATTAGTCTATTATTATAATAATGTACTAATAATTATAATATAAAAATTATTATATTTTTAAAAATGCTATTATCTATTATATTAGAAAAAGTTATCAAATTTATTCAATATATTATTATTATATTCACAACAATATATTTATCAATAAAATATTTATGTATTATACTAACAAATTCAATTGTTAATAACTATTTAGTAACTAATATATCGGATATTAGTATAATATTTCAATCAATTGATAAATTTACTAAATATTATTACATAACATTTTTCGAGACAATTGATGATCAATATTATAGACAACCATTTAGTTGGAAACGTCTAATGATATCAATTGTATGGAAATTATTGATTTTGATAATTATTATCCAACTATCCATAAGTGCCTTAACCGATGACCCATATATACTGGCACTGGTAGGCGATTGTACACATTTGATGGGCAGTTCAAATGGACAGTTATTTTCCATAATACTAAGCGTATCGTTCAGTTATTATCTGATATTTATAACTAATTGGTTATATCAGGACAACCATAAAAATTACCGACACTTTTGGTGGATAATGTATTCAATGAAATATAGTCGACTCAGGTATCCATTACTAGGGGATAGACCTAAAAAATTGCAACTATTATTAAGCCATTTAATTATCCGATATTTGCAGCTAGCTTATTTTTGTTTTATAGCCTATTTGAATTTGGAATATATTTATTTGACCATGATAAAATTTTATTATTACTATGATGATGATAATGTTAATTTAGTAATTAATTATAATTATTATATAAAATTTGTAATATATATTATCTGGATACTAATAACCATATTAGTATCAATACATTCACTATACATACAATCCTATATGACTGCATTGGTAACCATACCTGTAGTTTATATTTGGTTGAAATTGTCGGAAATTTACCAGAAATTTTCCATATGCTTAAAAAATATCAATAGTAATAATACTAATAATATACAACTATTAAATACTATACGTGAGCACCAATATGTTAGCCAAATAGTTAGCCGGGTTAACCATTATTTATGTACCTGGTACTATCTAGCCTATTATCTATATTTTACCAATGTAGTTGTACTAATAATTTACAGTATAACCAATAAGCAAGCTCAATTATATAATCTAGAAGTTAAATACTATTTATATAGTTTTGTTTGGATCAATGTTTCGGTATATATATGGTCAGCACTGGTATTCATATGGATAGCCAAACTAGCCCATCGACCACTGGCCCTAATGTATACCTATTTGAATCATCATTGGCCATCAGCGTCACTATCAACAATAGACAGGCTAACTGTCCTCGAGTTTATTGAACGACTGTCCACTGGACCGACAATTGGTTTCTATTTTTATGATTTATTTCCAGTCAATAGTTTAGAAATATTACAATTTATATCCATTTGTTTAAATAATTATCTATTATTTATGAATATATTTGATTGAATTTTTAATTGAATTGAATTAAATTTTTTTACAATATATATGCTTTAATTACTATATTATTATATAATATGAAAAATGACTGATTTTAATATGAAATATAAAATATTTATTATTATATTTTATTATAATACTTAATTTTATGCTAAATTTTATTTTATATAAACAAAAATTACAACCATATATTGATTTAACTAAATGTCAATAAAAAAAATACTATTGTATTAAATAAATATTTATATATAAAAATAGAAAAATAATATTAAAAATAAATATAAAACAAACAAACAAAACAAAAATTAATTAAAACAAATTCATATTAAACATCATTTATAATAGTTTAATATAACTATTTAATAGTAATAATACATAAAATATATAATATTTATAAAATTATTTTATTTAATTAAAAAATAGTTCCTTATTATTATTATTATTACAATATATTAAATGTAATAAATACTGTCCAAAAATAATTATAACTATAATTAATTAGCAAAAAATATGCTATAATATGCTATATTTATAGACAAATATTAATTTAAATATAACTTAAAATTAAAGATTACAAACAAACAAAAAATTAATTAAAACTTTATATATTGACAATAGTCATATGATATTATTTTAAAAATGATATATAAATTTTAATTTTAATAAT